AAAAGTTATCCAGCAATCTCATCATTGCTGCCAGAATAAGGTCCAGAACTTCAAAAGAATAAACCAGGAATTTCAGGCATCTCTCCCTAATTTAAGCAGACAGTAAAATGCAGAGTTATTTGGCTGATAATCCATCCTGCCTAGGAGGCTATCTCTTTAACTGCAGGCACTTTCCTACCTTCACAACAACCTGTTCTGTGCTTCTCACGGTGGTGGTGACCGGGATTATATCGCGGTTTAAGAAGGGCACCAGCACCAACAGGTGCCGAGAACGTTAAGTTACCCTGCAAGCAGCAATCACTCCTCCCTGCGCTGGTTTCAGATGTATCGTTCCCTCCTGAACAGCAACAATCCCTGCTCCTTCCGTTGACTGTAAAGGGAAAAAAAAAAAGAAAAAAAGAAAAGCCAAGGAGAAAAGTCTCATTTTCAGCACCGCTTGGTTTTTGCTTCCATAAGGATATAGGAATATAGGAGCCATGGGGCCTTCACCCCGAGACAGGCAACACGGAGCCTCCAAAGCCGCCTCCCAGGATTTGCTCCCTCCTCTTCCAACTCAAACATTCCCCCAACCAGGGTAAGGGGCAGGCTCTGCTTACACGGAAATTAGGAGCAGTATTTGCAACAAAGCAGCGCAGGGTCTCCTCGGGGGGCACCCTCGCCTTAATCCTGCCCATTAAGGCTCTAACAGGGTTTGCGAGATTCGCAGCGGCGAGAAGCTAATGTTATCAGAAAGATAACGCTGAGAACCACGGCACACGTGGGAGGGCGCTCGGGAAGACGCCGTTCCAGAAGCTCGTCGGGATTTAATACAGTCGTGATGACACCTAAACAACACTCACCTACCACAAATCCAAGTCAGCAAAAGAGAAATATCAGGCAGGCCTCTCGACACCTAGCAGGGACACCATTTCACAACACTTTACTGTCTTTTACCATCATCTGTTTTCCTTTTGTCTTTATATATAAATAGATATATCTTTTTATATATATACACACACACGGTTAGGGCAAAAGAAAAGCCACTAAGATTTGCTTTTCAGCATCTCATAATCTAATACTGTTCAGCCTTAAGAACTGCTTCAGAGTACCACAGGCATAGTACTAAAAACACTGCTATAATACTCAGTGCACCAAAATCATTACTCTAAGACACACAAATAGTTAAAATTAACCACGCGCAGAGAGATCCAAAGACATTATATTTTTCTTTCCTTTTTTTTTTTTTTTTTTTTTTAATAAGTAAGATGATACCTGGAAAAGTTGTTGTTTAGCTAACGAAGATTTTTTATTTCCTGCCCCTGAAGCTGGGTTGGTTTTGGCAGAGAAAGGCGGGGATTTAAAGCTCTCCTCGCCGCAGGGAGCGCCGCACGTTCCGAGTGGAGTTTAACTAGGTTTTATTTATAAAAACTCAACCTGTGCCAGGATTTCTGAGGAAGGAGGGACGGATCCCAAACTGAAGCATCACAGAGCCTCTGAAGCACCACTGCACAACTCGCCCTTGTCCCTGGAGGCCTCATTAAAACGAAGCCCCTGCCGTAGAGCAAAAACAAGGAAGGAGTAGCGTGACATGTTCACATTGAGACTTGTAAAAGTTTCCAGAACTGTCTGCATCCTTCAAACACTAAACAAACAAAAGAACCCCCCCTCCCTGATACACACACACAACAAAACACACACACCAGCAAACCCTACCAAAACAAGGCATTCCAGTGCACATGCTCTCCCCCTGGGGACAGGCCAAAGAGAACAGGGACACGTGAGCGGCCTCTTGCTCAACGCGCTCTTGGAAGGCGTTCAAGGAGGAGGATCGGTGCGGGGCCAGCCGAAAACACACATCCAAAAACAAAGGGAATTCACCCCAACAAAGGGAATTCACCCCCGACGCAGCCCATGGCCTCAACCCATCTCGGCGGAGCAGGAACCTCGGCGTGTTTCACGATTGCAAAATGCTGTGGCAGGTAAATGAAGGAGCTTTGTGCCCCTGTTACCCTGCATGCAGGAGGGGACTCAAATTAGACAGAAAGAGGCTGCTCATTTGGTGTCTTCCTGCCTGGTAGCTCCAATGCACGTAACAAACGTTGCAGCTTTGTCACCCGGTCACAACAGGGAGGACTGGAGTGAAGTTGAGCTCTATTTATAATTCCTTCCAGGCACCGGGCAGGGTGACACTTCCCTTTTCTAACACGAGCCCCGCTGCTTAAAAATAGAGCTGGGAGCCTCCGAGCGAGGCGGGAGCCACAGGAGGAGGAAAACAAATCCAGGGAAATAAACTGTGCTGGGAGGAGAGGCCGTGAGGCACTTGTGCCTGTGATGAACAATAAAGGGGGCCGGGGGACGACAGCGGGTGGCCCCCCGGGCCCGCGCCGGGTCGGGCTCCCCATCAGCTGCCTCCTCGCTCCGCCCCGGCCCGGGTTTCCGGGTAGTAACAGAGCAGCCAATCCGCGGAGTTGCGAGCTCGGCCCCCAAGGCCTCCGGCTGCAGCGGCGGCTCGGGAGCGGCCCCGCGGCCGTGCCGGGTGCCCCGAGCTGCCGTGTCACCCTATGGGTCCCTGTCACATCCCGCTGGAGGAGCTCGCCGGGTCCGAGCCCTGCAAAGAGCCACTTTGCTGCAATAAGTGCGGGGGACCCCCCGCACTGGGTGCCCGGTGTGGGGATGGGGGCGATGCCGGTGCTGGGAACAATGAGCGGCTCCGGCTCGGAGCACCGCGGCACCCGGCATGGATAGATCCCCCCCAGCCCCAAAGAGCCCCAGCAGCCTCGTCCTGCTCACAAAGGGCGGCCACAAAAGGCAGCAGCGCTGGGAAGAGGGAGAATCCAAAGCCCTCTTTGAGCTCCCAAACCTGCCGGAGCAGGAATATTATTCACCCGTGATGCTACCCCCGCCCCAGGGGAAAAGGGAGCCCTTGGCAGGCTAAGAATCCGCATCGGGATTTGCCATGGGGATTGGGGAAAGAGGCCGAGAGGGAATGGGAAAATGGCAGCAAAAGGAGGACGGGAGAAGCCACCGTGCACAACAACAAAACCCCGGCCCCGCGGAGGGGCAGCCTTCAAGCACATTCCTTCAGACCGGGCTGCACTGCAGCTTCTCCGGAGGGAGATTCCCAAGGGAAACCGCGCCAGGGTCCCCGGGGAGCCCGGGCCTACAGAGCCAGGCTCAGCCGGACGGGTCGGACAGACGGACAGGGAGGAAAAAAAAAAAAAACAGGCAGAGGAGGGAGGAGCGGAGGGAAGAGTCATCCGACACATCCAACTTCCCAAGTTTGTCATCCACAGGACACTGACCGCTCCCGGCCCCTGGCGAGCGGCTCCGCTTGTGGAAAAGCCTCTCGTTTCTTTTGTCAGGGTAGGGGGAGACAAAAACAAGAGGGGAAACGTTCCCGGTGCTGCGAGCAAGGCCAGGTACCTGGGGGCTCCCAACCTAGAACCGCAGGGCCAGCGAAGGCAGCACGAGAAAAGCAGGGAAAAACCTGCTCTTTGTCTCCTAAAAACACTCTGTTCACGGGAGGTGCCAGCTACCAAAGGCACAAAAAATAAAGGAGCAGGGGGAGGGGAAGGGAGAGCAGGGAACCCGGGATCAGGTTGGGCCTCAGCCTCAAAGGAGGCCTGGGCTGCAGAGGGGCTATGTGGAAGGAGGGGGATTTTCCCCCTCCAACCAGCTGGAATTCCCGACCCTCCTGCCGGCGCAATCAACCATCGCCGGACACTCGGCCGAGGCCGCCGACATGCGCGTAACTTTAAACCCCGGATAAAAATAGCTCGGATTCGAGCGTGAGCGGCAGTCATTTCCTATTTGCTTAAAAAACAGCATGGAGAGAATAAAAAAATAAATAATAGAGGAAAAAAAATACGTGAAGAGCAGCTTTGTGCGGCGCCACGCACCCGCACAAAAACATCAACAGAAGTTTCCTTTGATAAGGCACCCGCACGGCCCGGCCGCTCTGCCCTCCCTCCTTCTTCCTCCCCCCGCATTTTAGAAGGGGGGAAAAAAAAAAAAAGCAAAATCCAAGTTTGTTTACGGTCCTGGGGACTCGATGGGATCCTGTTTAAGGCCCCTCAGCGAAGCACGAGCACCGGGTTGTGCCCCGAGGAGGCTCAAACGCCTGGAGCAAACAGAGCCCGAAACCTTCCGGGGGCTGCCGGCCTTTCCAATCCCCCCGACTCCATTGGCACTAACACCTTGTAAACAACCCCCTGCCCCCCCCCCAAATATATGCATATATATATATATATATCGATCTATATTGATATATTAATAAAATCACCCTCTAGCCAAACCCCCTCCCAAGGATATTTTTGATACCACCCACGCTCCAGACAGAGAAGAAAAGGCTCTGCCACCCCGCAAAGGGCTGGCAATAAGAGTGAGGAGCAAAATAAATAAATATATATATAAATGTATACACATAAACAGCTCTCGCAAGGAAAGGAAGGGAGGGGGGGAAGGCCCGGCCTAACCCGGGTGTTACATAAACGGGGCCGCTCGGACGGGCCGGGGGTCCAGCTCGTGCCTCTCCCCCCCGAGGCTTCACAGCCGGCCAGGCCCCACAGGGCACCCCCCTCCCCTTCCAAAAAAAAATATATATTTATATATATTTTAATCCCTAAAGGCCTCACGAGAAGCTTCGTGAACGGCAGGCCGGAACGGGGCAGTAAATAATAATAATAAAGGCCACAAAAGGCCTTTCTTTGGGCTGTGGCTGCAGCTCCCCCCCACCCCAGCACAGAAAGAGCAGGAAAGGGGGGGCTGGGGGAGGGGGCAAGCGGGGCAGGGCCCCAAAACAAGGCCCGAAACGGGGGGGGGATTAAACCCCGGGGAGGGGAATCGGCCTCCGGGCGGGAGGGGAAGGGGGGCCCCGGGGCCGGGCCTGGGCGGGGGGCGCCGCCACCCCGGGCCCTACGGGAGGTGGGGGGGAGGAAAGGGGGGTGAATCCTCCCCCCGCCGCCACAGGGGGAGCTGCCCCCCGCAATGGCGGGAAGCGGAGGGGGGTGCGGCAAGGATACAGCTTGACCACGTCGGTGTCCATCCGCCTCTTGCCCGGGCTGGGGGACGACATGGTGGCCGCGGCCGCCCCCGGGGCTCCGGGCGGGCTGTCAGCAGCAGCGCCGCCCGGCGCGGAAGGGGGGCGCCGGGCTCCGAGTGGCTGCGACGACCCCCCGCTTCCTTCCCCTCCGCCGCCGCCGCTGTCCCGCTGAGGCGGCGCCGCCGCCGGCCGGGGCCCCCCGCGCTGCTCCCGCCGCCGCCGCCGCCGCTCGCCTCTGCCGGAGCCTCTCTCTGGAGCCCTGACGTCACCCACAGTGACCTCACCGCCCCGCCGCGCCGCCATTGGCCGCGCCGCCGTGACGGCACCTCGCCGCGGCCCCGCCCCGCGGGCTGCCGGGAGTTGTAGTGCGGTAGTGGAGGGGGGAAAAAGGGGAGTGGGGGTCGCGGGTTCGAGACCCCCGGCTGCCGCGGGGGGACGGGACGGGAGCGCTGCCTCAATTTACCCGGGGCTGCCGCGCTGATGAGCGCAGATGAGGCTGCCGAGGGGCCGAGCCTCCACGTCAGGCCCTGGTCCCACGCCACAAGCTGCACCAGCTGGTGCAGAGCGGTCCCCGGGGGCCATTTTGAGGCCACCAGGGGCAGAGGGGCAATGGGTGCCAGTGGGGCGGCTGCCCCATCTTGCCCAACTCCAGTCTCATTGCTTGGTGTGTGAGGGGCTCAGGATGGTTCCCATCCTGCTGCTGGGATCGGTGGGGAAAATGGCTACCAGGGCATTGAGGGAGTCATTGGGAACCATGGGGAGATGTGGGGATTAGGGGAACCATGGGGAGTCATTAGGAACCATGGGGAGATCTCGGAAATGGGAGAACTGTGGGGAGTCATTGGAAACCATGGGGAGAAGTAAGGATTGGGGGAACCATGGGGAGTCATTGGGAACCATGGGGAGATATGGGGATTGGGGGGAACCATGGGGAGTCATTGGGAACCATGGGGAGATGTAGGGATTGGGGGACCCATGGGGTTTGAGGGAGCCGTTAGGACCCATGGGGAACCTCGGGGAGATATGAGGATTGGGACAACCATGGGGGGTTATGGGAGACCATGGGGAGATGTGGGGATTGGGGGAACCATGGGGAGATGTGGGGATTGGAAGAAGCATGGGGAACTTTGGAGACGTGGGGATTGGGAGAACTGTAGGGAGCCATAGAGAGTCACAAGGAGATGTGGGGAGTCATGGGGAAGCTGGGAGAGATGTGAAGATTGGGAGAACCATGGAGAGCCATATGGAGTCATGGGGAACCATAGGGAGCCAGGGGGAAACATAGGGAGCGCTGGGGCAGATAGTTGGGGAAGTATCTGGGGAATGGCGGGGATCCATGAAGGGAGCTGGGCCAGATACTTGGGGAAGGGGCTCCTCCATGTCCTGCCCTCTGCAGCAAGGTGGGACACCCAGAGCCAGGGTGAGGGCACCTAGGGCAGGGAGGACACCCAAATCTGGGTTGAGGGCACCCAACACAGGCGGGACATCCCAAGCCAGGAGGGGACACCCAACACAGGCATATAGGAATGTGTGCATGAGAGGAGGAAACCAGGAGCACCAGTGTGTGCATTTGTATGTGACATCCTCCTGTTGGGCCCCTCGCAGCAGGGTGCTCCAGGGCCTGGACGGTCATGGTTGCGTCCTGCCCCATGGCCCCGTGTGATCCCCAAGGGCTGAGCCTGCCCTCCCAAGGACTCCTGAGCCAGGGCCACCACGGGACAAGGATAGCCCTTGCTAGGCCTTGCCCCATGGTCCTGACCCTTCCTTGGTGTCACTGCCTGCGTTGCCCCTGCGCGCAGCTCAGATGCAGGATGTTGCAGAGAGGCTTGTCCTGCCCTTGGGCTCTCACCCTGCTGCTCTTCCACATGGCACCAATGACCGGGGTCAGGGTCTTGGGTGGTTTTCTCCTTAATCCTGCTATTGAGGGAGATTGCAAGGAGGAGGACATGGATACTATGAGTCCACAGCTGGCAGCATTGCTGGTGCAGCAAGATTTGGGTTCCCACCACCATGGGACCCTACTTGAGGATCAGTCTGCTTGAAGATCAACATCTACTGGGGAGAGATGGGATCCGGCTCACTTAGTGGGACAAAAGCATCTTTGGTGACAGGCGGGTCAACAAGGAGAACACACAGCCAGCAAAACAGTGGGGCCACAACAAATATTTGCATGTAGGCAAGGAAGTGGCTGCAGGATGATGCGATGGGGAAACCTCTCACATCCTGCTGGGGAAACCTGCACGCCGGGGCGCCTCTGACGTGCCGGTGCCAACGCACGGGGGATAAACAGGAGGAGCCGGAGCTCTGCGGGTGGCTGCGGGGAGGTGACCTCATGGGGATCACGCAGGGAGGTGGCGTGGATGGGGACGGGAGGAAAGGGAGTCATCCCTCACGTGGCGGAGCAGCAGGAACGCACGGAGCTCTGCCTAGGGGCGCGCGGTGGGGCTGACTAAGAGCTTACGGGTAAGGATTAATGGGCAGAATGACCCGGGTGACGGCGTGTTAGGTGTTTGCAGGAGGCCACCTGACCAGGAAGGTGCAGGAGATGAGTCCTCCTACAAGCAGCTAGAAGTCGCCTCACGAGTGGCCCAGCTCCTCGTAGGGGATGAGCGCGGGGGTGTCTCAGCATACAGCGATGGGGCTAGGAAGGCCAAAAGCCATCTGGATGTTAATCTAGTGTGGGATGTCAAGGACAACAAGAAGGGATTCTATAAATATGGCAACAGCAAAAGAAGAGCAGGAGAAATGTGCGTGGGGCTGCTGCTGGTTGGGGTAAGGGCCTTGGTGACATCGTGGTGGGTTGGGAGACCTCCAGAGCAGGAGCCTCCGCAGCCTCCCTGGGCAGCCTGGGCCAGGGCTGGGCACCCTCCCACCAAACAAGCTCTTCCTCACGGCCACATGGAGCTGCCTGCGCTGCAGCTTGGCCCCAGGGCCCCTTGTCCTGGCACTGGCCACCACCGAGGATCAGGTGGTTAGGGATCAGCCCTGACCAACGTGATCATCTCCTGCCTGGACATGGAGCACCCAGCAAATACCTTAAAGGTGCAGAGACCAAGGAGAGATGTAGACAGGAGCACCCCAGGGCAGGCTGGTGTTTTCCAGACTTGCAGACCCCACTACGCTTAACTTCTGCCCAGTGCAGCTGGGGAAACTGAGGCAGAGCCTCCCTTTGGGATCAGAGTCCCCAAGGCCTAAGGCCTGAATGAGGGACCTGAGGCAACAATGGCAACAATGAGAGTCCCCCTGCTTTCACCCACGCCAATCCGAGTGCAGCAGAGCAGGGTCTGAGCCCTCCTCAGGGCTCCCTTCCACCACATCCTCAAGGACAGAGCCAACAGATCAGGCCACGTCTGTCAACTGGGTGGAGACCAGCGTGGATCCCAGCGGGCACAAGGCTGTGGCCGGCTCCGTGCCTAAGTGTGCAGAAGTGATGCCAAGACCCCAGGCACAGGAAGACGCACGCAACCACCAGAAAGAAAAAAAATGAAATGTTTTATTCCCACCTGGCGTCACCTCCCTGCACTGCTGGTGGCAGCTCCCGGCTCCCCTGGGCCTTGCAGGATACGGGAGATGTCCTCACACGGGACCGTGTCTCCTTGCTCACCCCGGGGCCTGCAGCGCTTCCCCGCTCGTGACGAACAAGCCCAGGGGCCAAGGGCCACGGCAGCAGCTTGTTAAGGCAGGGGGACTTAAAGGAAGGCAACGGGGAGAGAAGGGGGTCCCGGTGGCCACCAAGGTCCATCTGGCCCAGGGGCTGCCCATGGCCTTTGCGCTGAGCGTGGGGCTCCTCAGCACCCCCTCGCCACGGCACAGATGCCTCGGGAGTGACTGGAAAGCAGCTCTCCACCGGAGCAACGCGGTGCCCTGTGCCCGCGGCGAGGCTCCGGTTCTGGAGTGCTCAGGAGGAATTCATGCTCTCCCACTGGCGGAAAATGCGGAACACCTTGCAGGACTTCACCGAGAGGCTCTGCAGGAGACAAGAGCAACGTGACCATCTGAGATCAGGGCACCACGTCCCAACACGCAGCGGCCACCAGCCCCAAGCCCCCCTGCCCAACGCGCGCGAGAAGCTGCGGCAAAGAAACACTGACATTTCCCAATCAGCAACCAGGGCATCGCTGAGCTCCTTTGCTTCATTAGCTCCATTTATCAGCAGGAAAGAAGGGAGGAGAAGAGAAAGATGATGTCAAGTGAGAAGCAGGAATGGGCTTCAAATCTCCCTGCTCCCAGTGGGGGCTCCCAGCACCCATTGGCACTGGCCAAGAGCTATATGGGGCATAGCTGGAAGGGACCAGCCCTGCTTGGGATAAAAGTTATGTGAAGTGCTTGAGACAAGCGAGGAATACCAAGTGATGAAGCAGGGGTTGAGACCACTCAGACACCCATCTCTGCAGCTCAAAACCCTGAGCACAGTTGAGGAAATCCTGAAGGACATGGCCAATGGAGCCAGGGGCATCCAGCGAGGCACAGACAGGTGCCCACTGCTCTCTCTGCCTGCCCTGTGCTCATCCTGGCAAACTCGCCACTCCAAGGGCCTGGCCACCACGGGCCCCAGCTGGTGGGACATCTGCAGAGTGGGGCTCTCTTATCAGGACATGAAATGAAATTGGATCTTGGGCAGCATGGGGCCATTCTGGAGATCCCACTATTTATAGCAGCCCTCAGCCAGATCAGTGTGCAACACAGCATGAACGGATGAGACCTGGTGACTCCCTGAGAGGGACGCTGCAGACACACGCTTGGTCCTAACCACCCACCCTGGTTTATGACTTCTGTCCTAGCTCAAATGAAGCCAATCTGCCCCAAACTCTGCCTGAAGGCTTTCAGCCAGGGAAAGGCTATGGAGCAAGCAGGGTGTGAGAGCTCCGGAAGGGTTCTGGGCTTAGCTCAGGGCTGGCCGTGCTGCGGGCTCACCACAGGCTCCGTCTCAGGCAGTCTGTCACACTTTCTGGTGGCCAAGAGCGTGTTCAGCACCACTCGCCAGCCCGGCTCTGCCTTCGCAGGCTCCTTCTCCACGGGGTTCTCCTGGGCTTCCCCTCCTTCCACCACGTTGACCCAGGGACACCAGTCACGATGCTGCGTGCTGGGATCAAAGAAGCTCCTCGTGGATGTGTCCTGCAGGGAGGGAAGACGATGGTGAAGGATGACAATAACAGCATGGTTTTAAACAGAACCTAGTGACAAGCCAAAACCTTCTCCATGCCCAAACACTAGCCCTGAGCTGGCCCAGCGCTGCCCACCGGTGCCACCTGGATCAGCAACACCCTGTGGGAATCACCCTTCATCCCACGCGGGCTCTCACCGAGCTGCTGGAAGAGCAGAACCGGCCCCGCTTGGTCCTGCGGTGAGGGCTGGACGGCACCTCCGCGTTGTCCTCCTGGCCCATGCTGCGGGTGACGGGGCGGCTGCGGAGCACGGGGCTGGCGGCCTCCAGCTCGCCGCGCTCCACGGGGCCGGCGCAGTCCCAGCCCCGCAGGCGGGACATCGCTGGTGATGGGCTCTTCTCGTGCTGCTAGGGGAAGAGCAAAGAATTAACAGAGCTCCTCTGGTCACCAGCATATCCTCGGCCCCAGGGGGACAGTGACAGCAGGGCCACGCTCCGTTCAAATAAGAGATCAGCCTCTCAGCTGTCCCGGGGAGACCCGTGTCATTCTCCCTTTGCGCCAGGAGCATCTTGGACACGTCTCATGGCACAAGGGTGAAGGCGACTCCCGAATTGGAGCATTCCAGGTTGGACATTGATGGGATCCTGGCCCAAACAGCCCTTTCTGGGGGCTTGGGAAGGCAGAGAGCAATAAGCTGCGTGAGACAGTGACAACCCTCTTCTTTTGGATATTGTCAGCAGCTGGGATGTAGCACCATTGCCCACAGGAACCTCTTTTTCAGGATCAGAGGTAACTACCTCTCCACTGACATCGCTGTAGGGAACAGTACCTTGCTCAGTCCAGCTTGGACTTGCAGCTGGACCAAAACCAGCTGGTCCCATCTCTCTCAGAGACACCTAAGCCCTCACACACCAGCTTGTCACAGCATGAGCTTTGACTCCCGCCTGGCCCAAACCACCTGCAGGTCCCGCACGCCCGGAGCGCCGCGGCCGGGCCCTACCTGCTCGGAGCCCGGAGGGAGCGAGTCCTGGCTCCGCGTGAGCATCCTGCGTGGGGACGTGGGCGCCGCCGGGAAGCGCTCGGCGGGGGGCTGCGGGGTGCCGCTCAGGCCGCCGGAGTCCAGCTCCGACCCTGCGCCCTCCAGCTGGTGGAAGCCCCACAGTCCCACCTTCCTCATGCAGCGGGAGCAGGTGATCACCGAGAGGCGCATGGAGCCCGACACGGCGCTGGAAAAGGCGACACAAAGCGATGGGAAAAGGTCAGGGACGAAGCCCCTGGTATCACAGCTTTCCCAAAGGATGCAGGTGGTCAGATTGTAGGGAAGGTCACAGTCAGGGGTACCCAAACCGGCCCTTTCCAATCCCAAACAGCCTGTCCCCAGGCCACACTGCAGGGCATCACCCGCAGCAAGATGCCTCGGGTGACAAGAGTGTGGCTGTTTCACAACTAGCACGTGCTTTGGAAGTGTGAACATCCCTTCCTGCAGGCCTGATGAGCAAGGAATCCTGTCCCGAGGGCAACTGCCCAGGTATTGACCTTGGCATCTAGATCAGCAAAGACTGGAGCAAGTGGCAGCTCAGAGGCTCCGTTTCAGGCTTTGTAAACTCCATTAGGCACCTGGTTTTGAGCTTTGCAGCAGGGTTTCTGAAGGCCCATTTCACAATTTCAATGGCCAGAGATAAGCTTTTATTAAAATCAGAGAAATAAGGGGCAAGAAGCTTTTCCTGGGAGAGACATCCACATTTCTCCAGCCTTGGGCAGGTTTCACAGGCAACCACTGCCAAGCGCAACAGGCACCACACGATGCACGTGGGGTATTTGCTGCCCACCCCAGGGGTATTTGCTGCCTCCCCCAGGGCTATTTGCTGCCTTGCTCACAGGCCTAGGCCACGCACTGACCTGCAAGTCCAGCCGCACAGAGCCAGGACGCAGGCAGGAACATGAACGTGCAGGATTTCCGAAGAGAACTTCATCGGCGGCTTCTCTCCCTCCGTTTTGTGCTCGAGCTCCTCTCTGATCAGCTGCAGCAGCTGCCTGATCTTCTCCTCCGTTAGGGCCTGTGTGACAGAAAAGCCATCAGAGCTGTGGTCAGGGGCAGCACTCACCTTGCTCCACACAGAGCCCCCGAGTTTGGGGTCTGGATTCTGCCTCCTGCCTGGTTCTGAGACTTCTGAGGTTCAGCACATTCAAGTGCTGCTCTCAGGACTCCTTGGGCAGCAGTAACACTGCAAAGCCCTGGAAAACGCGTGGCAGAAAGAAAGAGGGAATCTCTGCTCAGAGCAGTTACAACAAGTGGAGGAGCAGACACGTTTCCTGCACTCAACAGTCTTCCCTGCTTTTCTTTAAACCTCTTCCCCAAACCAGGCAGGTTAATCTGATAAGAGACACTGCCTCTACTCACAAATCATGTAATACGTGGCAAAACTCCCCTTTTTATTCCTTCAAAGGGCTGGGTGCCCAACCTAGAACCTTTAGTGCTTCTATCCTGGTTACAAAAGCTGCCCGGGGAGGCTGCCTGCTCCACTCTCCCTGTCACCCGGACACGCTCACGCACCTCTCATCTCCCTGCAGGTACACGCGCTCAGTGCAGCCACTCTCAGCTCTGCTGCTCATGGCAAAACCCAGCTCCTACAGCCCCAGCTTGCTGCTCTGAGCCCAGGGACCACGTGGCTGCCACTGCTTGGACAAACTGAGGTGGCTTCAGGGGCCATCGTGGAGATACAGTGAGAAGAGAGTCCCCGAAGGCCACGGCTGGGCTCCAGGCCCGGCTGCTGGCGAGAGCTGGAGGTGACAGCACAGTGATCTGTGACCAACACACGCTCCATGTGTTGGTTTTAAGCTGTCTGTTCTTGGGGGGGTCTGCTGGGTTAAGCTCAGCCAGCTCACCCTGGTGACCACCAAATGCCTCCGCTATTCCGGCTGAACGCAGTATTCCCTACTTCCCATGCGGTTCCGCACTGCCCGGAGCCATCTGTTTCCTGGCCGCTGAGTGCCCAGTGACTTTGCTGGAGCAGAGCACGGCCTGGCCAGGGGCCTGCGTGGAGACCATCCCAACGGGAGCTCGTGGCTCCTCTCCAGCCTCAGCTCCTGCCTCCCTGCCCGCCGAGCCTGGAACATGGCACGAAGGGCACAGCGAGGCCTTCCCACCTATCCCACCTATCCCTATTTCACCTGGAATCCTTGACCTCACAGCTGTCTCGGGAAGGATTTGCCGCTCTCGTGTTGCCACTGGGGCCGTTATCTCCCTGCTCACGTGGATCCCCTCAAACTCACCATGTTCTTCATGTCTTCAGGTCTGAGGGAGGGCAGCTGCAGCTCCAGCTGACACAGGCTCTGAAAGCGCTCCAGGAAGTCCTGGAGAAGGGCTCTGGGCTCGTCCACCAGCAAGACGGCGAAGCGATCTGGCACAAGAAAAAACAGGAGGTCTTCGTTAAGATCCCAGCCTTCCCACCCCTTCATAATCCTACTGGGCAAGAAAGGACACAAGCCCAGAAAAGATCTCTTGTTGAGGTCTTCTGTCCTTCAGAATTAAGGAGTCTTTTTCCTTTGCAATCATCCTTCCTAGTGCAGCAAGGACTCTCAAGACCGGTCCATGACCCTTTTAGGGTGTCCCAAGTCAATGATTCTCCCCTGTGTTTTCCCAGTTACAGCCCCAACCACATTTTAGCTGCCCTGGAGGCAGCGTCAGATGAAGTTAACAGAGCCAGGACTGCCCTGCTGTGCAGAACATCAGCTCCAGATGTGGAGCAACAGCTGTGGCTCACTGGTGCTTTTGTTGAGGGTGCTCAGAGGCATCTGACACCCCTAGGTTCAACCTTTCCAAAAGGAAAAAAGAACAGACTAACACCGTCTGCTTTGGAAGCTTGTGGACAACCTGCAGACGAGAGCTCCAGCGGAGGGGCAGAAAGCAAGGGAATGATCTGGAGGACCAACCTGGGCAGGGGCTGTCTGGCCAGAAGCAGAACTTCTCGTGAGCAGTGCTCAAGGCCTTCTTCAGCTCCACGCAGCGCTCCTTATCTGCAAGGCAGGACCCCCTTCACTCCCCTGCGGAGACACCTCCTTGGGGAAGAGCTGAGGGAAGGAATGGAGGGAGAAGACACCCTACACAGGGATTTTCCTCCTCCTACACAGGGATTTTCCTGCTCCCACGTAGCAGCTTGGTTCAATCCAACCACCAGCACAGGGACCAGCTGCCAGTTTTACCAGCGTGGATAGCTGCTGGCTCCTAACTAACTAACCCAACTGCTCTTCCCTGGCTGTAGGGGCCAAATCACAGCCAGGTCTGGAAATTAAGTGCCAAAATTTTTGTTGGGAAGTTAATTTAACTTGTTCAAACCATCCAGAATGGAATAATTATTTTTTTCCAAGCTACGTTACTCTTCTTTCCTACCTTCAAGTACTTCAGGTCTTCCTAAACCAGTGCAATTACTAGCAGAATAATTAGGTCACTGTTTATTTAACACACACTGTCTAAACAAGCAGCAGGTGTTGATATCCAGAGCCCCTCTAAAGGAAAGGCTCATGCAGCTCCCTATCACAGGGCCCACGTGCTGCGCTCACCCATCGCCAGCCTGCGCTTTGCCCTCCGTTATCTCGCAGATAACGGGAGCAGGGACTTGAACCGAGCCATGAATACGGAGAGGGGGGCAACGCCACACGCTGTGTGTGCAATAGCTCTGCAGAGGCCAGGCCCAGGCAAAGGGAAGCGGGGGTTTGGGCAGATTTTGGGGATTTGGAAAGTTTGGAGTTTATTTTCAGAGATGTCAAATACTCAGGGTGACCCAAGACGAAGGGTTTTGGCCTGCAGCGAGGCACGTGCTCCCGAGCCCTACGTTTGGGAGTCATAGAATCATTAAGGTTGGGAAAGACCTTCAAGATCCCAGAATCCCAGGATGGCTGAGGCTGGAAGGGACCCCCAGGGCTCCCCCAGGGCAGCCCCTGCTCCAGCAGGGACACCCAGAGCACGGGGCACCCGGGCGCATCCCGGCGCGCTGGCAGATCTGCAGAGCAGGAGCCTCCGCAGCCTCCCTGGGCAGCCCGGGCCAGGGCTGGGCAACCTCACACCAAACAAGCTCTTCCTCACGGGCACATGGAGCTGCCTGCGCTGCAGCTTGGCCCCAGGGCCCCTTGGCCTGCCACTGGCCACCACCCACAAGAGCCTGGCCCCAACCAAGGTGATCAAGCCCAACCATAACGAGGTCCACCCAAAGCAGAGGAGCCGGCGTACGTACACTTGCTGAAGTCGAAGGCGAGCTGCAGGCTCACGCAGAGGAAGGCCTGGCAGCTGGAGCACTTCAGCATGTCGCACTCCACGTTGGTCCACCCGTACTTGGCACACACGAGGGGAGACAGCTCGTGGGGTTTGCCCGCCCACTTGAGCGGGTGCTCGCGTTAAGGCTACAACTCAACCGTGTGGCGGCACGAGCAGGTTCGACATCTGGGACGGGACATTTCTCCCAAGGGGACTCATCGGAAGATGAGAAAAAGCCTCCAAGATGAAGCTCAAGGGGAAACCACAGGACAAGAATTGGTTGGGAACTCAGCATTCAAGGATATGGTGAAGGTTTCCACCCTGCTGAAATAGGCTTCCTTGCTGGTGGACTCCAAAGCGGGAGCGTCGATCGGCAAAGAGCCATTAGTCGATTCTGACCAGGCAGACGGGTCTTTCCTGCAGGGAAACAGCAAGTCAGCAAGCAGGACGTTTAGTCGGTTCTGGAAAGGCTTCTCATTAATGAATTGGGGGAAAAATAAAGGAAAAAAGAAAAAAAAAAAAAAAAAACCTCTCCCTAAATCCCCCACTGCCAACAACCCAGTGCCTGGCAGTGTCTCCCAGTGACCCCAATGCCTCCCAGCGCCCCCAGTTCTTCCCAGTACCTCCCGGTGCCAACTGCTGCCCCCCAGTGCCCACTGCTGCCCAGTGCCACCTCCCAGCGCTTCCCTTTCTCCATTGCTCCCGGCACATCCCAGTTTTCCCAGCGTACACAGAGACTGCTTTTGCCCAGTACATCCCACTGCCTTGCACTGATTCTCCCCTTCATCGTCCAACAATTCCCAGTGGCTTCCAGTGATTCCCAGGGGCCTCCCCCCCCCCCCCCCCAGCAAACACCCTCTCCAATAACACTCAGTGGCTCCCAGTACATTCCAGTGGCTCCATAGCACCCTCCAGAGACTCCCAGCACCCTGCAACAGTCACAGTGTCTTCCAGCACCCTCCAGGAGCCTCCAGGAGCCCTCAGTGACTCCCAGATTGCTCCAGTGACGCCCACTATACCCAGAATAATCTCCCAGAAGCAACAAGGGACTCCCCGTATCCACCCCAGGACCCTCCAATAACTTCCAACAAATTCCAGGACCCCCAACGCCTTTTAACACCCTTCAGGGACTCCAAGTTTCTTCTTGGAGCTCTCCAGTAACATCCAGTGGCTCTCAATCCCACCCCCACCACCCAGTGACTCCCAGGACCACCCCCTGGCCCTCCAACAACCCCCCAGTACCTCCCAGTCCCCCCCAGTCGCTCCCAATATCCCCCAG